TCTGCTATCGCATCTCAATACGGCATCTCGATAGACCAAACTCGCATAGTTTCGATTGGGTGGTCGACGGGTGCCCATCTCGCAATGAGCCTTGCTTGGACTACCAAAACGCTCGACGTCCCATCGCCAGCCGCCATATTGGGCTTTTATGGCCCAACCGACTTTGAATCAGGGGCTCTGGAAAGGCATCAGGAAGAGCAGTATTACGGAGAGTTCCCTGCTCGCAGAATGCGACTTGAGAAAATCATGCAGGCTCTGCCGCGGGCGCCCGTGACCAACTATGGCACCATGATGGATGGTAGTCGATTGGGTTGGATCAAACCCGGCGATCCACGCTCTGAGCTTGTCTTCGCGGTTCTAAAGGAGGGTATCGGGCTAAACGTTCTTCTCTACGGCCTTTCTCATAAGGCTCTGGCCCAAAAGCCTGACCCAGCGCTTGTCAGAGCGATTAGCCCAATGGCGCATGTACGAGACGGCTCCTACAATGTTCCCACGTTTGTCATTCATGGGGTAAAGGATGAGATTGTTCCGTTCAAGACAGCCGAATCATTCGTAAAGGAGCTGGACAATTTCGGAGTTGAATGTGGCTTCTTACCGGTTCCTGGAGTAAAACACATTCATGATGTGGATCTCAAGCCGGGAAGCAGGGAGTGGAAGAATCAAGTAGAACCAGGATATCGGTTCCTGCTCAAACATCTGAAGACGTCCTCTTAGGCAGACTTATGGTCGAACATGGTCACTGATCTCATGCCACTGTAACGAATGAATCTCATATTCGGTAGAGTCTATCGCCCTTTTGGTGCCATATATGCCTTAGCAAAGCAGAACTTGGTTGTATTTCGATAAGTTGCGTAGCCAACAATGTAGCGGAGCAAATCAACAGGCGCTCTCGGTCCTAATGTCAATCCCGAGTTTGAGAGCACAAGCAAAGGGGGCCATTGCGTCAAGGAGGGTATCTCTTATCTTCGCACACCGCTTGCGATCTAGGTGCATACTATCCAGAATTAGCACCGTATCTATTGCGGACCGAATGTAAAAACGTACACCTCACATGTCGGCGACACGAGAATTGGACCGAGAAGCCGGCGAACGGGCAAATCAACACTCAATCTACTCCGAGAGTCTGGTGACATATGGTGCGGGGCATGGTGTACCGGACACATGCAGCTAGTATGTTACAGAAAGTCTCAAAAGGTAGCTTATGGCTCGCTACGCCTCATCGTCACGCCGACGTTCTATCCACCATTGTCATCCTTCCTCCGGCCTTCAAACATAAGCACAGCCAGAATCTTCGAAACGAGCAATATGTCCCCGAAAGACAAAACAAAGATCACTCGAGAGGAAGAGGATCAGATATGGTCTTGGAACGCTTCACTTCCGCCAACTCCTCACTTAACTATCACCCAAGTCTTCACCAAGCAAGTCAGTTGCTCCCCTGACGCGCCTGCGGTGGACGCCCCGGACGGTACACTCACATATGCGCAACTGGAAGACTACTCTACGCGTTTAGCCCAACATCTTCATACTATACTCGATGAAACCACCGCCGGTGAAATCATCCCGATCTGTTTCGATAAATCCATCTGGCTGGTTGTCTGTATGATGGCTGTGTCGAAGGCGGGGATGGCGTACACGACACTAGACCCTAGTAATCCAACGGAGCGGTTACATGCGTGCATGGCCACTATAAGTCCTCGAATAATGCTTGCCGAAGAAAAGTTCAAAGAGCGGTTTTCGCGCGAAGTTGTCAGCAAGGTGGTCACCAATGTGCCAGACGTTTGCAGCGGCGATTCTGAGGGTAGAATGGTCGGAGTGGAAGACCTGCCAGTCGGCCTTCCGAATGATCTCGCCTATGTGTGTTTCACATCAGGATCGACGGGACTACCTAAAGTGGTTCAGCATACGCAAAGCAGTGCGGTCTCTAATGTTATTCATGGTCATGGTTACGCAGCTAGTAGCCGCGTTCTCAACTTCGCCTCCCAGGCCTTTGCTGCCAGCATTGTCACGACTTTGAAGACGCTTTGCAACGGTGGTCTATTGATCTTACCGCCAGAGCGAGAGCGCATGGGCGGTATAGCGAACTTCATCACCAGGAAAAAAATCACCAGGACGTTCCTCACACCAACGCTGCTGAACCTGCTGAAGCCAGAGGAAGTGGATTGCTTGCAGTTTTTGACCGTAGGGGGTGAGCCCGTAACTCAGCGACTCATCGATGTTTGGGCGCCGCGGGTGTCGCTTGTGGAGGCGATTGGCATGACGGAGGGTGTGGGCATTGCGAACGCCATCGATGTCAGTGGGAAGAAATGTAGAGCTCGCCAGTTTATGACGGGTTGCGCATGGATCGTCGACCAAGACGATGCGAATACACTAGCGCCGATCGGGGAAACGGGGGAACTTCTTTTCGAGGGACCAGCGCTATTCCAAGGATATCGCAACGACCCGGAAGCTAATACGAAGGCATTCATCGACGGGCCACCTGCATGGGCGAAAGCGAGGGGAGAGGTGAGACCCAGAGTGATGTTTCGAACAGGAGATTTGGCAAAATATGTCGAAGATGGCGTTGTGCAGATTGTGGGAAGGAAAGATACGCGTGTCAAGTTACATGGGCAACGCTTTGAGTTGGGAGAGGTGGAAAAGTCGTTGTTGGACTGCCTCCCATCGGGTGTGACCGTTGCAGCGGAGATAGTCGAACCGACAACTGGAACTGGGCCAATTCTCGTCGCTTTCATACACGGGCTTGCAACAGACTTCTCTCATGGAGTCAGGCAGTTGAGAGAGAGATTGGCAGACAGTCTCCCGGATCACATGGTACCGCGCGGATTTGTGCAACTCAAAGAGCGGCCTTTGAACCCATCTGGCAAACTCGATCGAAAGCTACTGCGAAGTCAGGCTGCCGGGATGTCGTTGGTTGATCTGGTGAAGCATGTTGGCGCTCTGAGCAAGTCTGCGCCAGTGACGTTGCAGGAACGAACAATGCAACGTCTATGGGCCTCAGTGCTCGGCCTCCCCGTAGAGTACATCGGTTTGCAGGACGATTTCTTCCATCTTGGCGGAGATTCCTTGCACTGTATCAAGCTCATTGCACAAGCACGGAAAGAGCAGGTTGTTCTGTCAATCGAAGACATCCTGATACATCGAACTCTCCAGGCTATGAGTACATCGGCAAGCTTCGAGGTAAGCGCTCAGTCAGCTACGATAGGCGGCGGATATGCAGCGCACACGATAGAGACAGTCGCACCGGAAATCTTACGAGATGATGTTGACGCTGTTGCTCTGGCGACAGACTGGCAGGCCTGGTGTGTCGGGCAGGGTCTGCTCAAGTCGCATGGCTGGCATGACTATATGATCTTCAAGTTCCCCAAAGCGCTGGATGTTGGAAGGTTGCAACGCGCTTGTCAACAGCTCATAAACCAACACGCCCTTCTACGAACGGTGTTCGTAGTGAAAGCAAGACAAACTTTCCAGGTCGTTCTCAAGGCCAAGGCTTTCCCCTTCCGGTTCACTGTGGAGCAGTCTAGTGACAGTCAGAATATGGACGCGCTTGTTAAGGATATCATTCAGCAGGATATGAAACGACACCGTCAACTTGGCGATACTTTGGTAGCTTTTACCCTTGTACAAGATGCCACAACTAGCACGGCACAACTGGTCCTTCGAATCTCCCACGCCCAGTACGACGCGCTCAGTCTCGACAAATTGTGGCGCTCGCTCGAGGCTTTGTACTTCGACAGACCATTGGAAGTCATTCCTTTCACCGACTTCTGCGCAGAAGCGGTCTTAGCAAGCAGGAATTCTGAAACATTCTGGAAGAAAGCTCTGGCCAATAGTTCGATGAGCGAAGTTCGGGCTCACACTCGCCCCAGCGTGGACTGCCCTATCAACGGCGCCGTCAAGACTTCTGTTCCCTTGGTAGACCTGAAAACTTCGGGTTACACGAGCGCAACCGCTGTTCTTGCCGCATGGTCGGTCGTGCTGTCGAAGCTTACTGGTCAGGACTCTGTCGTATTTGGATACATCACTTCTGGAAGACACATGATGATGCCCAACGTATCGGATATCCTCGGTCCATGCATGAACGTCATACCTCTACGCACGGATGTCATTTCAATCGCAAAAGCTTCTTCGCTTCTCGATTCAATTCAAAGCAACTATCTGAAGTCGCTGCAGCATGGCCATATTGGACACCATCACATCATAGAGAAGTGTACTAACTGGCCTCGATGGACGCGATTTTCGACAGTCGTGAATCATCTCAGCTTCGGGTCGATCGAGCAGCCATTTCCAGAACTTGGCGGGTGCGCATTCGATGTGTACGAACCGGAGCATGACAAGGCCGACCTATGGCTGCAAACATCTGCTCGCGACAACAAGCTGGAAGTCGAACTGAGATACTCGCAACAGGCTTTCTCCGAAGATTGGGTTAAAGCGGTGTTGAGCTGCTTCGTTCAAACTTACGAACAGCTGCCTCATTTGTTGGGACAGAAATTGTCAGACATTCTTCCTCTGCTCGATGTGGCTGCGTTCCAGCACAGTCTAATCAGCCCCAAACAAGCTAGGAAGCAGGCACCAAGGCTCGAAACAGAAGATACAAAGATCTTGGAGGAATTGGTTTGTTCAGCTTGGGAGGCGGTATTGGGATCAGACTTCAGGTCGTCTCCTGGTTTCACATACCAAACCCCATTTTACGAGATCTGGGGCAACAGCATTGCCGCTGCCGCTCTTGCTTTTGAATACTCCAAGAGGGGATTCGCTATGAGTATTGAGGAACTGCTTGATTTCCCGTCTGTCGCAGAGACTATTGCTCTTCTCTCAACCCGCACAAAGGGCGATGTTGAGAAGGCTACTTAGCCTGCTGCACAACGAACTTCTTACCATAGTTACTGCATTCAAATCACGATAGACGTCAGCTTGTGGAACCTCGAATTTGAACCAATGTCATGCTACAATGATATGAAGACATCTGCAGCCTGGAACGCGCTGAATGAGTCGTTCGGAGAAAGGGTGGCGGTGGATTTGGACCTACTTGCTGCGCCTGCATGATTACATTAAGAACCAGGCGGATATCGAGAGCGCTTATGGAAAAAAGTCCACCTAAATCTCTGCATCAAGATTCCATGTTTAGAGCAGAGTTAATGGAACCCTGACTGCAGACCTCATGAACTTCTCCTACCATACGGTTCGAATGGAAAGATCGCCGCAATACCTGCCATGAAGATGTACAGGGCAGCACAGATATAGATCGGAACAGCGGTTTCAGTCTTTATCTCCGGTCAGCACGAACAAAGCAATTCGGAGTCATCTCAAACATGATAGGTTTAGTGAAGAGCAAACTTACATCAGCAACCGTCGCAATAACGGCACTCAAAATTCCCATAACCCTGTTCCAGGCAATCGCGATTCCGTTGCCGGTACCTCTGTGCGCACTCGGCAGCACCTCCGGCGTATAAGCGTACAGCGTGCCATAGTAGACATTTAAACAGAAGTTGATGATACATGTAAACACCACATTCTGAACAGCAGTCCTGACCTGCGTGTACGCGAAGAAGAAAGCCATGGTGACCAATGCTCCAATAACCATGGTATACTTACGACCGAGGCGCGTATGACACATGTAACCCGCTAGCACAGGTCCCCAAATCCCGCTGAAGTTCACGAGGGTGTAGTTGCGCCAAGTGATGTAGGGTGATGGTTCACCGAAGGCGACGCCGCGGGAGAAGAGGTAGGCAGGGAGGAAGACATTGTAAAGGGGATAGGCGAGGCCAATCAACGTCCACGACAGCCAGATCAACGATGTGCTGATACCTATTCGTTTCGTGGAAAACAGACCGCGGAGGTGCATGTTGATCTCTCCCAAGCCCCATTTACTCTTATTTCCACGTGCAGCGATACGGTCTACGGTGCCGCAGTCCTGCATCTGGGCGAGGGTGAGACTACAAGGTCGGTTGTATTTCGTGGCAATGAAGTGGAGGGTTTCGACGCACTCGGCATCTCTACCTTCGCTGACGAGGAATTTGGGGGTCTCTTTTAGACGGATGATGGTGATGCGGAGGATGGACATCACGAAAACCAAGGATCCAGAGGCGTACCATACGTAGCGCCAACCTTGGTTGTTGGACTTTGTACAGGGGCCCGCCGTGGGATCGAGAGATGGGTCGGCGCAGCTGAAGTTTGGAAGGAAAGCCCAGGCAAAAAAGCCAGCTACGAGCTGACCGATACCTAGTCAGTGTGTCAGTATTTAGCCTGATAGATGCCATTCCTCGTAGAAACAATTAGCGGAGGATGGGGGATATATATACCCCACCAAGCTGCCATGAGCGTAAGCATCCACTGCCTATAGCTAGGCAAATACTCCAAGAACACGGCCGTGTCCAATACCAGATTCCCTCCAGCGCCAAAAGCACTCAGACATACGAATAAGCCCAAGACTTCCCAATTTGGACTTGCTCCAGCCACAATCGCGAAGATCGAGCAAATCAGCAAACTGACGTTAAACGCTGTCTTTCGACCGATGATATCGGCCGATAAACCCCAGAATAAGGCTCCCGTGAGCATTCCGACGTAAGCAGCGATAGTCAGGCCGTTTCGGTAGGAGGGGTTAAACTCAAGGGCGGCTTGCGCGGCGATGACGGACTGAATGAGTAGGATGAGGGAATCAACGGCGTAGCCAAAACCATTCAAGACAAAGAGCTAAGTCTTATCAGAAATGCTCAAAGATGTCAGAGACACATCAAGTACCTTCCATTGATACGTCGTAAAACCGATCTGCGGACTGTAATCAGTACGCACGCACAGAATTCTTCTCTCACCAAACTTACCTCATCGATCGCATTGTTGACCAAATGCATTTTTGTATTCAGCACAGGATCAGTGTGCTCGAGTTGTAAGATGTCGTCTTTACCCAAGCTACTCGTTTCGCCGTATGCGTGTTGGTGTTCAACATCCTGCTCGTGCTCTTGCACTTTCTTATCGTGAACTTTGCTCTGACCGTCCATCTTACTATACCACACCTCAATCTCTGAATGTACTGTACAAAGTTTCCAACTCTTTCCAAATGTGAGAGGTGCACGCGACAACTGGGAAGAAAGCAAAAGGCCAAATAGAGGGGCACCGAGGGTAAGGTAGATCCATGTATCCTACTGGCACTTGCAGCAAGGGACAAGACTCTTCTGATGCTGTGCCCAATGCAACGTCCGAACTCACCACGTTGTTCGCCTGGTCCGAACGGCTGCACCAATGGCAACAACCCAAGGAACACGCTTGTCAGCTCGTGGCTACGCTTTGATTGGCTGGCATCATAATCGGCTGTTTGTGACAGGGGTGTAAGCTGAGCCGATCGCTCTTGGAAATTCTTGGGTTGTGGTCCGGGCGATACCAACGTGGGAAGGTGCGAACGAGCACAAAGACGTCCCGTCGAATCGGTCGTCGAGTTTTTTAGAGTCGTGCGCAACGTCTCTGAGCACAAAGATGCCCTCAGTAGTGTGAACTCTGCAACACCAACTGGGCCGCCTAGGAAGATAAGTTTAGGTCTTTCTATCTACAATGTATATGTATTGACTTGACTGTAACCTACGTTGTGGAGCACGACTATATGCACCTTCGTGCAGTGAGAGTTGTGATATAATCATGATGGCGCCCCACTATTACAGCATCAGCCAGAAAAGAAAGGAATTTGTACATGATATCGCCGTGAATATAGCCCTGGTATCCTAAACGCCATGCTGGAGACAAAGTATACACAATGATGAAATGCATCGGAAAAAAGAGGACCCCATGCAATAGCTCCTACTGCCCGGGTGTTTGCGTTGGAGTACTCTCTTCAGTGCTGGCAATAGCGCTGTCATCTTCCGCCACCATCGTGACCGGTGTTGGTGTAATCCTTCGTCGCTTACTCTCTCGCGCATCTACATCGACTTCCGGCATAGCATACAAGTCTCGTTTCTTCGAAGTCGAAGATGCATCCTCGCGGTCTGACTCGCTCATTTCGCTTTCTCTTCGCCCAATGTGGGTAGTGCTTGGTATACCACTGACCGAGCTACTCGCACTGTGCGTCGTGCCCTGGCCGTGAGCTGGGGTCAGAGGCGGCGTCCACATCGGTACAGGTCCAGAATTGGCAGCAGCAATACTAGGGACTGATGACATAGCCGGCGTTGGGGCGTTCATGTTGCTTTGGTCGCCTGCACCGGGGGCAAAGGATGAAGCAGTAGCAATACTGGATACTGAATTGCTTCTTGTGGGACTACCAGGCCTTGCGGGAACAAAAGAGCTCGGAGAGGCCGGGAAGCCTGCAGAGGGTTGCCTCTGCATCGGTGGTGCAGTAGTCGTTGTGGTGCCTGGCATGGCTCCGGTTGTTGGTGTAGGAGTCGGGGTAGAGTTGTTTGATGTGTGCCCCCCCGTGGTGTTGATGGCAGCAGGTGTCTGCTGTGGTCGACTATGAACAGCTAATGGACCCGTGTACTTGTCGCCAAGTTCGCCAGGAGCAAATGTGATGGATGAGCAAAAGCCATCCGACGAGGTCATCAGCAGCATGGAGCCGTCATTCGACCTATTGAATGGTAAGTGAACTGGGAGTCAAAGCGGGCCTCGGCACCTACCAGGTAATGTCTGTAAAGGTGGCAAAGTGCAAGTTGCTGACTATGCATAGGGGCTTCTGTTGCTGCGTATCGTAGATGTGGATAGCGTCTTGTGTTGCGACAGCATACATCATGCGATAAGGCAGTGTAAAGGCAGACGGAGGCCCGGGGGGCAGGCCGGATTGAGCGGATGCTTCGCCTTCGGCGGGCTTAGGCGACGGCGCTGATAGACTTGGCGAAGGAGATGGCGCACTCGTGATGGGCGGGGGGTCCATGGATGAATGCGACGTAGGGGGCTTGGAGGGCATGATTGGATCAGGCAGAGAAGGAATTTCATCGTCCATGTTTGAAGTATCGATGGTGATGTGCCTGGTGGGTGGGACAGACTGGCGTAGGGTATAGTAGACGGGCGAGCAACGAACGGCGACCGAGGGCTTCTTGTGGCCAGGCAGATAGGCGACGGGTGGCTTGTTAAGGCCGGCCCGGGTATATATGTAGACTGTATTCGTGATGTCGTCGCCTGACTTGGCTTCAGCAACGGACGCATGCATGGCCTTGTATTGGCCTGCCGGTGTGAACAACAAGCTGCCGTCCGGGGCAAATGTAAGACGTCGGAAGAAGGAGGTCAAGGTCTCGTTGAAGTAGAGGGGGGCGTTGCGAAGGCCCATGGTGCCGATGCTGCCAATGCTAGGGGAGTTTGGCATGACGGCGGGTAAGGGCATGGACGGAGCGGGCGAGGCGGAGCGGCGCATGGATGGAGAGGAGCCGAAGGACGAACGACGGCTGTGTGAGGTTGGCGGCGGATGCATCGTGGGAAGGGCCAGCGACTGGGGCGTGCCGGGCATCGACGGCACGGGCGAGCCGATTGCCATGGCAGCATCAGCGGCAAAGGCGCGGCCGCCGAAGTCTGGGGGCGCAGGGCTGTTCGAAGAAACGCGCCGGGCGGGCAGGTCCATCTTGGTGACCTTGCTGTGCTGGGCCAGCGAGAAGTGGCCGTCCTTGTTCTTCAGTGTGTAGATGTGGACGGAGCGGTCGGACGACTGGGTTGCAATATATTCGTTCATGGGGTCCCAGGCAACGCCCTGGACGTAGTGGTTGTGCTCGGCAATCTGCCGCACGATGCTTCCTAGACATGATTGAGCAGCTATCGGGGAGGTGGTGGCTGGGCACGGGGCGTACCAGTTTGAGCGTTGTAGATGCGGGCAATGTTGTCCATGCTGCCTGTGATGAAGAAGACGCCGTCAGGGGACCAGGCCAGGTCGTAGATCTCGGAGCCAATGGACCTGCACATGGCCTTGACTCGCCATGTCTCCTTGTCTTCGAGGCCCTCGTCCAAGTTGTGCGCCGTCTGCTTCTCAGCGGGGACCCAGAGCAGCACGTTGCCATCGTCGCCGGCGCTCGCGAGCATCTCGCCTAGGGCACGTCAGTTGCTGCTCTCTCTTGCAGGTGGGCTAGAGGCGTACCCCGTGGACACCATCGCACCACGTTGACGGCCTGAGTGTGCTTGGCCAGAGTCGACAGATAGGTGACGGTGCGTTCCTCGCCATGCGCCTCGACGTTCCAGAGCTGTTGTACATATCAGCGCAAGTCCATGCTACTCGTGGGTGGAGCTGGCGTACCCGCACGTTATTGTCACCGCCCGCTGTTGCCAGACGTCCCTTGCCGTGTGGCTCAAAGTGAGCCGAGTAGATGGGGGCGTTCTCGTTGTGCCAGGACACCAGAAGCGGAGCAGCCTTCATCTTCGCTGGGGCCGCAGCTCATTCCGCACTCAAGCGTAAGCGTAGAGCGTCTGGTAGGTGCCGGTTGCACGTGAGGGATCGTGATGTTGGCGGGAGAAGGGCAGGGCATGCGGTTGAGGTTCTGGGCTGGCGGTGCTGTGCGCGGTTTGGCTGAGGGCAGATGGCTTGCCCTTGGGTGGTTGGAGCGCGAACGTTCCGCGTCTGCTTCTAGCTGCATCGGGAAAGCTTATTGGTTTTGGTTTCACTGTCGGATGCACCGGGCGCGACACCACCAGCACCCGTCCAGCGTCTCACACGCCGGCCTTCATGTAGATCCTGCAAACACAAGCGATGCAGCCCGCTGTCTGTGCAGCAAAAGCATCTCGTTGCATGGCAAAACCAGCTGCATCCACCATGGCAGACGACGCTGCCACCCGCCTTGAAACCGAACTGGAGCTGCTAGACGCCATGTATCCCCATCAGACGCACTATCACCCCAAGTCACGGGAATTAAGCTTCTCCCAAGATGATCGTGCCTCGCTCCTCCTTCGCTTGCCGGAGTCGTATCCGGCATCAGGGTCGCCCGATATCATCTCTGCGACTGACGCAGCCAAGAACGACCTGCGGATGCGCATTAGAGATGCCGTCACAGGGCTTGGACTGGCCCAAGGGGAAGAGGCGCTCGATGCCATCCTCGCTACCTTTCAGCACATGCTCAGTTCTGCTCCTCCTGAATCAGACATCGGCTCAACCGCAGGTGCCAACCAGAGTCCAGACACCTCCAAGACAGTCATTGTATGGCTGCACCATCTTCTCAATACCAACAAACGCAAACTTGCACTCTCACCTCCATCCTCACTGCCACCCGTATCTGGGCTCACCAAGCCTGGATATCCCGGCCTTCTTGTCTACTCCGGCCCCTCCGTAGCTGTCACAGAGCATGTCAACACACTAAAAGCACAGAACTGGCAAGCGTTCCAGGTACGGTATGAAGAAGCAGAGCTCTGGCACTTTGCACATGGTGCCGGCGTCAGAGAGATGGAGACTATGAGCCATATCGTCAAGGGCGTCGAAACAGAAGGCGCCATTGGGGTAACGCAGAAAGAGGAGCTTCTCAAGGCTATAGGTATTAAATAAACATTCCACCAGTTCTCTGTTCCACTTCTTCCAAGGGCACTTTTTTATTCATTGACGTGATTCCTGGCTCAAGTAATTGGTAGGACCTCCGCTTATGGGATTTTCATCTGTATTTTTGTAGTGACGTGGTGTACCTTGGATGTACGAAGGAGCAAGATGTCATTCGAGGTTGGCCCGAGCGCGCCAGTTCGCATCTCAAATCATCGAAAGTCTGCCGCTGCACCAATTCGCAACACCACGGCGTCATACAATCTCCAACATCAACACCCCAATGGCTACACCAATGAAATGCATGGCCACGGCTATGAGGAGTATTTCAAGTCCACGAGCGGCGCGCGTTACGCATCGAACATTCGCCTTTAGCACATCGAGTCCGGTCGCATCGTCGCGGAAACCATCAGCGGGGAACGCAACTTGTCGGAGGGAATTACAAACAACGCGAACTGGACTAAGGAAAGCTGCAAGTAGCTGCCAAGGACACACAAGGGATTTTTCGCAATCGACACCACGGAGCAAGCTCAAGACAATAGATCAGATCCGGGCCAGGAACAAGGGCGGGGTACGTTTTGATATCCAAGGAGCCATGTACAAGATGTAAGTACTTAGACGCCCGTTCAAAGGCTAACGCTTCGTAGCCATTCAATCTCACAGCAGCCATCCTCTTCGTTGCAGCAGGTGGAGGATTATGGGCCTACTTCACATACGAGAAAGAGCGCATGGCAAGAAAGCGAATCGCCGAGCAAACAAAGGGTATCGGAAAGCCTAAAGTAGGCGGTCCATTCCACCTCCAAGACCACAACGGCCAGCCATTCAGCAACGAGGACATGCTAGGCAAATACTCTCTCGTACGACATCGCCCTCGCCCCACTGTGAGCATTTACACTAACAACAGTGTCGTAGGTCTACTTTGGCTTCACTCACTGTCCCGACATCTGCCCGGACGAGCTCGACAAGATGGCTCTCATGTACGACAAAGTCGTTGCCGAATGCGGCAACGTCATCCTCCCCGTCATGATCACATGCGATCCCGCACGCGACAACCCCAAGGTGCTCAAGGAATACCTCGCAGAGTTCCATCCTGACTTCATCGGCTTGACAGGCACCCACGAGCAGATCAAGGATACGTGTAAAGCGTATCGGGTGTACTTCAGCACCCCCAAGGACGTCAAGCCTGGTCAAGACTATCTGGTTGATCATAGTATCTACTTCTATTTGATGGGTATGTTGTCTTGCTGTGACCATAGTGCACGTACATAGGCTGACAGATCTACCAGACCCGGAAGGCGATTTTGTCGAAGCCATCGGGCGCAACTTCACGGCGGAGCAGGCTGCGAAGGTCATCTCAGACCACATAAAGGATTGGGAAAAGCCGTTGAAGAAAGAGACGAGATGGGAGTAGACGAATGCGCATTGAAGGTTGGAGATACAAATGGCTCGTGTGACTTGCATGCTACAAAAGTGACAAGGACGCGCGAGCCACACAAGTTGCGGGGAGACGTGTAGAGATACTTTTGTACGAATACGGTGAGTGGGACTTATACTATGTCATGTGCGCCAGGTTTGTAGATTACTTGTCTGAATACCCATGTTACGAGGACGCAGCATTTCGCTGTAGATGAAACACGTTCGTGAATGAGCTGTCGCTATGCTTCCTTTACGGCAGAGTTGGCACGGCGAATGCTTGGTACTTCTCTTACGGGGCCAAGATGCAAGGCAGTTGGCGCCCTAGCAGATGGATCGATGGAGATACCACGTGGGTGGGATAGATGTGGGGACCATAAGCTCAACTGCCTGTATTTCAAAATCTTCAAGAATATTTACGATTTATATCGAAAATTTCCTAAATCTCCTTCGTTGGGCCGGTAACTCAGTGGTAGAGTGTAGGACTGCAGTTGAACCAATAGCCGCCTTCCCGAAGTCACCGGTTCGACTCCGGTTCGGCCCTAGTTCTTTTTGCCCGTCGCTTTCTTTTTTCAATACACATTGCATCTGTCTCCTGTTCTTGAATTAAGGCTCCAAAAGCTATCTATCTTCTATTTTTAACACGTATTTCGACGGAATTGCGTACAATCGCCTTCTTTCTTGATTTTTCTCGAGTATGGGCACTTGGTGTATTCTCGACTTTAAGCTTACAGAGACAGATTTTTGCGGTGCTACTATGTACAGCATACGTTGCACATGGAAGTACTAGTACAAAAGTATAAACCCAAAGTGTAGAAAGAGAAGAAAAGTCTGCCTAGGTATGTTGTGTTAAACACTTATAAAGCAATTACATCTTACATATAAACTATACATATACCTAGGTGCTCTAACGCAGAAATCTATATCAAATTATCTAGGCTCTTTCTTAAATGCATATTCTATGATGTATACTGCAATGCGATGTAACTTGTGTCGTCGCTTTGTACTTAGGTGTAGAGTAGTCGCCACAGCATTGTAATGTAGCCTTATTCTCTGCTAGCATTTGAATGCAATTTAAGCTATTCCAACGCGTATAGGACTGACTGACAAAGAATGTGGTCCGCCTTTGACTCGGACTAGGGTCCGGTCTTGGTTCGGGCGGGTCATCGATATAGATAGTACCTTGGTATACGGGAAAATGTTGACTTCGTACACCTATCTCTAGGTATGAATGTAATAGCTTTGATGGTTGACTGACTGCTGCGTGGAAGCTGCAGTAACAACGTTGGAGTGTAAATTCTGCTTGGTTCCGTCCACATTGCAGATCCCGCTATTATATCTTCTTCTCAGGACATATAGATTGAACAAAAACGGGTCAATCAGCACAACGAACAGCAAGGGTGAGGTCTAGGCGCCCAGGAAAGTAGTGAGAACTCTTATGCTGTATCTCAATCGAGAGCCCGTAGATTGTTCAATCTTGTTCGCAGTTAGTGGCTGCTCATTACCTAGGTAGTGTCCTGGTGCACAACGTCTTACAAGACTACAATTAAAGAAATGATGCAGCATAGCAGTTGTCCTCGCCAGAAGCTTGTGGTATCGCAACAAAGCTTCATCACACCATCCGCTTCGATAATCACCAAGTCCAAATCTTAGATCTAAGCTCGAACAATGCAGGATCATGTACTATTTCTCTTGGCCGCTGATATTGCCCAAGTAGTCATACTGCATTAACACCTGGATTCGAGCTGCGACTCTTCCACAGACGGCCAACTCTCGACACGGCAACAGCTGCTACCCGCGTCTTGAAAGCAGCATTTGACGACATTTTCACACCTGATTTGAAATGCGTGTTGAACAAAAATGTTATCCTCAAGGTTTGCTTTCGTCCAAGACCACTATAGCTTCCACAAAAGCGAGGTTATACCCCCCAAGTGAATACAGATAGATGGAAACTGAGATGACTTTACTAATTGCAGGGTTACGTCAGACATACGATGCTTTGTCTTGGGCTCAGTTCCACCATCTCCAGTCTCATGAATGTATCCTGTTCTTGATCGCTTCTACGATACTCTTCAGACCACTCAGTCTAGCCTCTCTCGTCTCCCCAAGGTACAAGCTTGCAACAGGCCATGCATGAATACCTCCCGGCTCTTCCCAGCTGTCTACCTCTTTTCCGGTCTTTCCCAATGAGCTGATCAGTTGCCTTGTCTCCGGCCCAAGCACTTCTTCACTTCCATACAGGAAATACCACCCTTGTTCAGGACTAGCCTCCATCCACTTGTTCAAATCTCTGCACCTTCCTGGCGAAACCATTGGATCATCTGCTGACACCTTGCTGCCGATGTATTGACGGCCGTATAGCTCTAACGATGAACTGTTGAGATAGTCGGATTCTGTGTTTCGATTTTTGTGCGATACAATCGTCACCCACGGGCTGATCATGATGGCAAGGCCGGGTTTCTGATGTCGTAAGTCCGTGTGGTCAGACATGTATAGCAGAAAGCTCAAGATGAGGGTTGCGCCCGCAGAGTCTCCACCCACGACGACACGAACTGAAGATTGAGCCAGCGATAGAACGTATTCGTAGCCTGCGACCGTCTCGTGGAGTTGGGTAGGGTATGTAGCGTCTGGGACGAGTGTGTATTCTAAAGCGAATAGAGCTGGATTGCGGTACCCGGCGTTCTTGAGCAGTGCAACCCAAGCGAGTAGAAACTCCATATAGAAGAAACTACTTCCCATGGAAAAGCCACCCCCATGACAATAATACACAATTACATCTGGCTGCTCTTGCTGGTTGTGCACTATCCATACACCTCTAAAGTTTGGTCTTTTGATCTCAGTCCACCTGATTGGACTGGTGACGATGCCGTGTCTCAGCATACGGAACCTCAAGAATGGGAGTGACACAGCTTTGGAAAAAAAGACACGTCCCAAAAAGGCGGGCATGTTGGCGAATGCATAGCGAACGAAACGGATGACCAAGTCTTGGAAAGGCGTTGCCTTCTGCACGAAAGGGGCACGATGTTCATGTGGTACGAAGAAGCGTTCACGAACGAACTGGTACGGTATGGCGACGGCTTTGGGAGCTGTGAGTATTAGTATGCCCACGTACATGACATGTTGCAGCTTACCGAGAGATGGCAAAGCTGGTATCAGCCATGTCAAGAGTGGCAGGAGCCCAATCTGGATCAGCAATTGGGGAGCGAGAAAGACGAGGAAAGCTATGCAGTCCAGATAAGAAATTTGACTCAATATCATCTTCACGGAATAGAGGGTGGACAAAGTATCTCAGCCAGGAGAACGCCTAGCGACACCGTTCAGGACTGGAATAGCAATAGCAATAGCGATGACGCTGACGAGGGTCCGGCTAAGCCACAATCGCTTAGCGCCACATCTAACGGTTCCGCATTGATCATGCTTTCCCTGAGCTTCGACCGGGCAACCTGCGAACCTCTGGAAGACGTGAAGCTGGAGCCATATCAGGAGGAGTGACGCCCAAACATTGACTTGCACAAACGAGGAACAGAGTGGTTCGCACGTGACGGAAATTAGCGGAGCCGCGCACAGACCCGTCGGTCGGTCGCGACTTCCAGAAAACTTCCGCGACTCACTTAGCTGTCACTCCGCAAACACGCCTCTCCGCGCCTGCAAACAAGCCTGTCTGCTTGCCTGCGCCTGTATCGAGGGGTTGTCTTACTTTCATCTTTCCTTGTCTCTCATCCACCATTTCCTATTGATGGAGTAACGTCCGGCGCAAACATCGGTTCCAACTCTTCCACGGCAGCCTGACCCCAAGTCGCGAACTCGTCGAGCCTCACCATGGCCAACCCCGCAGCCGATCTCAAGGCGGCGCCGCTCGCTGACGAGCTGAGAGAGCTTGCTGTGTACGTGCGAGATGCCTAGGCTCTGAACTCATACTAATGTAAGCAGGTCGCTCCCCACGACGGCCTTCCCAAAGAACTTCTTCTGCGCCCTTTGCAACGAGCTCGCGTTCGACTCATATAAGCTAATCTGCTGTGCTAAATCCATATGTTCACCATGTGTGTACACCATATGCTGCTGCCGGAGGGCCTCGCAGGCGCTAACACGGCCCAGGTCAAGGAAAACTCCAGTTCCCGACAACGTGTCCCTCATGCGACCACTCACCGCTCGAGGCCGACTCTTGCACACCGAACAAGTCTCTGCGTAACACGATGCGAGTGTGGCTACAAAAGCAGAAGAAGAAGGAAGAGGCCAAGGCCGCGGCACAGGCAGCTACCCCGCCCGTCGAGGTGACACCAGCCGCGCCTGAGATACTGCCGGTCCGTGATGGTGCAGAGCAGCCCGTAGACAGTGTTGAGGATGTGCACAAGGCAGAAGACGGTGCTGCTGAACAAGCTTCTGGTTCTGCGGAGGCCGCAGAAGAGGCTGGACAGCGCGCCGGCTCGGCCGCGGCCCAACCAAAGGAGGTAGGTTCTGAAAGTTTTTCATTTCGCTCTCGTGCGAGCATGCGGGTACTGTACAATCAGAAGAAGAAGAAACCAAGCAAAAGAGACATCGTCGGGCATCTAAGCATTGCAAAACATGGTTGCCACACGTGCCAATGACCTGAGATGCTTTCCACTTCACTCGCGCTCTTGCTGACCAAACCAGGAAAATGCTTCTCCTGAGATTGAGACCGAGCGGCGCGGTAGTACCGCCTCTCAGAGCGTGACTAAGACCACGGAACCTTCAGCCGCCGACGGCTCGACCGACGAGCAAAAATCCTCCAACGGAACTAATGGCATGATGGGCATCAACCCGGCGATGAGCGGCGTGCAAAGCCAGATGGGCTTCGGCTTCCCCAATCAGGGTGGCTTCAGCAATGGCATGGCTTGGAACGGGATGCCCAATATCATGGCCAACGGCGGCTGGAACGGCGTGAATCCTATGGGTATGTCTTTGGAACAATCTTGCCTTCCTTGCAGGCGACTAATGTCTTCCTAGATTTCAACAACATGAACGGAATGTACGGCAACTTTGGAGGGAACATGGGCTTGGGCATGAACGACATGTCTGCCATGAACATGATGCAGTACGGTGGCGGCTATGGCAATGGATGGAATGGCATGGGCAGTGGCTATGGAAACTTCAACGGGCCCAATCAGCTGGGTGGCTATAATCAATCTGGAGCATATCCCGAGATGATGAACCAGTTTCCCAAGAATAATTTCCCAATCCAGAACCACAATCGTCTCCATGCCAATCAAGGAGGAGCACATCCTCAGCGAAACAACCAGAATGGCAGTCATGGTGGCTTTGGTCCTGGTTGCCAGAATGCGCCTGGTCGTCCGGGCAGTCGCGGCGGTCCTTTGCAAAACGTACGTTCAACCCACCAACGAAAGCCACCGAACCCGTATACGGGAATCGGCCATACTTGGAAACAAAAAACTGACCCGCTCCATTATACGCAGCGTGACAACCAGTCGCCTGACGGAAATGCCAACCCTGCTCCTGAGGCGAAGGCCGAGGGTGAGCAGTCGAAGGTGTCCGCAGATCCAACTGAAGAAGGTAAGGATACCGTCGACGATCTTCCAGTATCGCTCGAACCGCAGAATTTAGCAGATGGGGTTGGTGCTGGCAATGCTAGCGAAGCTGCTGGCGATGACACTAACCAGGCAGGGGGTGGTTCACAGTTCGAGACTCAAGACGGCGGTCTGAAGCCTATACAGACTGTAGACTCTGGCGATGCAGACATGCGAGAGTACGACCAGTCTATGATGGGCTCTGGTATGCCATACCCTCAAGGAATGATGAATCAGTTCCCGGATCAGCACATGAATGCACCCTTCGACCCCAGCATGAACATGAGTATGGGATATAATGGCAACTATGGTCCACGTAGCGGCTTCAACAACGGGGCATATGGTGCAGCGACAGTTCTGACAGGCCAGCCAGCGGAACCGATTGGTGTCGGTGTTGCAGGCGCCCCAACTGGACCACGCGCGATGAGAGAAGGTCGACCTAACACTGGTTTTTCGAGTCGTGTCCATGGTGGGCGATATGCACCCCCGCCACCGCCTAAAAGTGTCGCATCTGCTCAAGATGCGACAGCTGGTAGTCCACAGCGTAGAGTTCGATCGTAAGTAGATTCGATGGAGAATGAAGGACAAGTAGTGACTGACAATGACGCAGGCGGTCACCCCTCCGAGATGAGAGTATGCGGGTCAAGGAACGCTCACCCACGCCTTCTCGACCACGATCACGAACGAAGGGTGACGATAGGAGTGAGCAACGTGAGCGATCGCGTTCTGCAGACCGTCATTCTCGTCGTGATGACCGCGGTAGATCCGTTTCGCCATTGAACAACGAATACGAGGATCGCAAAGACCGCAAGCACCATCGATCGTCACGCTACGATGAACGTGACCCGGAGTATGATGATCGATACCGCGACGAGAAGGGCAGCCGGGGTGACCGTACGCGAACTGCATCTGCAGACTCCAAGTATCGCAGCAGCCGTCGTGACAAAGACAAGCACCGTTCATCGCGATCCCACCGCGACCGGAGCAAGGAGCATCGTCGTCGCCATCGCTCCCGATCACCTCGTGAGGGAGACAAATATGAAGACGAAGAAGCGTACGGCAATGGCGAAAAGGATTCTGATGGCAGTGCACGACGCAAGCATAGGAGCGGGCGGGACCGGTCACGCGACAAGGAACGTGAACGAGACCGCAAGGATCGTAAAGAGCGAGAGCGAGACCGCAACTATGATTATGACCGCGAGAAGGATCGCTCCCGCGACAAGGATAAGGACAAGGACCGTAGGCGGCGTCGCGATCGTGAAAGTGAAGACGATGAGCGTGATCATGGGGACGACAATCACCGCTCTTCACGCCGTAGTCGCAAAGATCGCGATCGCGAGCGACGCGAGTACGATGATCATGAGCGCAAAGACAAGCCATCTCAATTGGAGAGGGAAGAGGATATCGTCGGTCAGATGATGAAGAAACGCGCTTTGTCTCCACCCTTGAACGCACCAACCGGGCCTTCGGCGAATGGCTTCAGCATCAAGGGTCGCTCAAAGAACGCGGTCATGCCTCCACCGGCCCAACCTCCTACCGGCCCGCGAGCTCTCCAGCCACCCAAGGGTCCGGCTGCTGATCGAAACAAAGACCGAAGTGGCGAAGCTAGGGATCACCGTCGTAAAACCAGCGTCAGTTCTACATCGACCATCCCAACCGGCCCTTCATCCAAAGACAAGGAAACATTCCAAGATCACTATGCCGCTGAGCGAGAGCGAAACGCCCGAGAGCGAGACAGTCGCGAACGCGTAGAGAAGCCATCCAGCTCCAGCAAGTCCCTTCACTCACGCATCTCTCCGTCATCCCGCCCTACGCTCTCGAGCAAGCGCAGCAGAGACGACCTTGACGACGAGGCTCCGGTACCCACAGGCCCCAAAGCTGATGTCAAGCCTCCCACAGGCCCCGCAGCGCACCGTGACAAGCGCAGGAAGTCTGGGGCGACGGGTGACGACAACATTGCCAGCCTCTTTACAGCGGGACTGCGTAAGAATGCCAAGGCTAGACGTGGTGGTGTGAGGACTGAAGGCGATGTTGAGCGCGAGATGATGGAGCGGGAGCGGGAAAGGCGGTAAGATGCTCTTTCGATCATGTGCGCACGAGTTTCCAGACGAGTCATTTGGGCTAGAATGAGGCATGACATGGCTACGAAGAACTTGAGATAGTGATATGCTCAATCTGGGAGAATTGCTGGGGGAGACTTGAGGTCCTTTCTCTACTTATCTGTATTATACCCTTTGAGGCATGAGTCAGAAGATATGGATGAACATGCATGCTGCATGCGCAGTAATCAGCGTAGGCTTAGGTGGGATAATTGACAATTCTTGTCCTGAGATGAATACGTTGTGGAATCATGGTATCATTTACTTTGTGAAATCTGGGATGTTGGGACGAAGCCGTAACAGCGTTTGAAGCCTAGACATATTTACCGTCTGTGGTTTACGAACTCCTTCTGCTCACCGCCCAATCTCGATGCGACGACAGTCGCTTCCCTGATTGCCTTTGCGACGGCGCCCCTGACGCCGTCTTCCTCGAGAGACATGAGCCCACCAATGGTGCAACCACCAGGCGTTGAGACTTTGTCCTTCAGCACCGCTGGATGCTCGCCGTTTAACACGAGCCCAGTGGTTCCCCTCATGGTCTGCGCAGCCATCATCTGTGCCTCTGCTCTTGGTAGACCCATGGCAACCGCACCATCGGCCGCCGCCTCCAATATCAGTGCGAAGAAGGCTGGACCCGAGCCACACAGCGCGGTCGCAGCATCCATGTTCGCAGGAGGGAGGTTCGTAACGCGACCGATGGAGCCGAAGATGAACTCAACGAGCTTGTACTGCGCCTCACTGAGCGGTGGATCCGAAGTCTGGATCACAGACATGGACTCTCCTACGAAAGACGCAGTGTTGGGCATGACCCTCACCACGCGACAAGCATTTTCTGTCTTCGCTGGTCCATCGGGATACAGGAAAGCTTCAATCTGCTCCCGCGTCACGCCTGCCAGGATGCTGACCAGCACCTTCCCCTTCAGCGCCTCCCCCACACCCTCCTCGCCCAGAATCGTCTTGAAGCCATGTGGTTTGCAGCTCAGCAGTACGATGTCTGCTTCCTGCACGCCCTTGAGGTTCTGGTTTGTGAGCGTCTGCAGGGGGAAGTTGTAGTGGCCGAGGGCTTTCCGGACGTTTTGTTCGGCGGGGGCCCATTGGTCGCAAGCGATGAAGTTGGAGAGGTTAGGCACGTCTTTAGAGGCAGAGGCGGGATCGAGAGAGGCTTTTGTCTTGGCAGAGGCGAGCGAGGACATTACGCCGCCCATTATCGCGATGCCCATGGTTCCTGGGCTTGTTAGCAATGACTGTGTTGGTGGGTTGGTCAGACGACGTGCCAGAGCCGAGGACGGTCAATGTGAGAGGCTTGGATTCTTGTGTAGTCGCCATGTCGATTGAAGTCCTTTGGGCGTCTTTGTGGGCACTGTTGGACAAACGCGAAGGAAGAGGGCTGCTGGTTTCTGGAGCGCGAGATCGGCGGCTTCCCCACGTTGACTTGGAGAAATCCTGAGCTATGACCATGGCCGACGATATGCGCGCACCTCTCCAAGCTCTCCGCCTGACGCTCCACACTACCTTGCCATCCATACCACAAAGACTACCGCCGAGCCCATAGTAGCCAAAGACGTGCGCAAACCTCCACCATGGCCGACCCGTTCGAGGTTCGTCAACGCTTCACGACGCTGCTCTCCCACCTCAGCGCATCCCACACGTCCCTTCAAAAGGCCGCTCTCTACGCGTTAAAGAATCGTGAAATGGACGAAGACCTCCACTCGTGCATCCTCGAGCAACTCGAACGCACCAACATGAACACCCGCGCGAACATCATGTTCTTCATCGAATGCCTCTGTGAATACGCCGTCAGAGACAACAATTCGGGCGATGCTAGCGCAATGGGCTACGTCCGCATGTTACAAAGAGACATATTGGCTGTTGTAGAATGCGTCGTAGGCGAAGAAGGCGCCAACATCCGCGTCGTTCGCAAAGTCCTCAAAACGCTTGAGAACCTGTCCATCCTCATGAAGGAAACTGTCCAAGAACTCGAAGCCGTGCTGAAGTCGAGAGAAGTCGCGCATCCCTTCATGGCGACAGGTACCTCCGACCCTAAAGACAGCTTTGTGGTATCTACAAGTCGGAATGGAGGGCAAAGAATGGACAAACGTCAGATTGAACAGAGGATTGAGGAGGACAGGGAGAGACACAAGAGGTTGCGGGAGAGTATCTGGGCGGTGCCAGGAGACGGGTATGAGGAGTTGGAGAAGCTATGGGATGAGGCCAGCGACGTCAACGAGGACGACTATGTTACCGCGAGGGAAGATGCCGAGGAGAGGAGGAAGGTTATTGAGTTCGGATAGAACCCTGACAAAGACCGAGAGAAGATTGAGGCATGGAAAGCGGCCAAAGCTGCTGCGGACGCTCGTGCGGCGTCTCCAGATGCTGCGAATGAGGAACAGTCAAGCGAAGATGAGGGTAGCCAAAGTTCGAAGACCAGTCGGAAATGGTTCCTGGCATGGTGGGCAGGCGGTAGCTGATCTGCATTTACGGCGTTGATTGGGAGCGACAGACATTGCCACAGCATGGCCTAGGCGTTGGGGCAGAGATACCACGGGCTTGTCTTATGACGCCCACATTGTTATTGGAATTTTGAGTAAACTGCATACATCCATGGTCATTCCAAACATATCTGTACACGCCCAAACGTAATGCTATGATACAGTATTCGTCCCTCTCTCCCAGATCCTGCTCTTTACCTCTTCTAGCATGCCTCTACTCCATGACAACTGTAGCACCTAGCGCCTTGAGCGTCTCGACAATCTTCTCCGCCTCCTCCTTTGGCACACCCTCCTTCATCATCTTCGGTGCTCCCTCAACGAACTTCTTGCTGTCCACCAAACTCAAGCCTAGCATGGCCTTGATCTCCTTGATCACCTTGGGTTTCGCGCCGGCGTCGAATTTCTCGAGCTTGAGGTTGAAAAGTGTCTTCTCTTGGGCGGCGGGGGCGGCCTCTTCTTCTTCGACGGGGGCTGCGGCCGCGGGACCTGCGCCTCCCCCGGGACCAGCGACAAATCCTCCCATAGGCATGTCGGGTATGTTCAGACGAGTCTGGCGAAGTGTTAGTGGGACAACCTGAACGTTGCTGCATGTATCATTGGTGGCGGGGCGATTTGGAGCCGGGCCTGTCTCTCTTGGAAGCGATACAGGTGTGAAGACAAACATGCTCGTTCAAGTCCAACGTGGATTTGTGCAGAGCATGCGTTTATGCCCTACAGATTGTATCCGTGCCACTACAGGCTTCCGATGGTCCCCTTCCCACCCCTGTAGCATGTCTCCGTACCTTTAACGTCGATACCAAGTCTGCAGTCTCCAGCAGAGTCAATTGGCTAATCTGGTCCACGATCGTCGCAATCTTTGGGTTTGTGGGAGCTGCCGCATCTGATTGCCATCTCCGCTGTATCCTCTGCTGTGTGGCTCCAATGGTCGGTCGTACGTATGCGGACTGCTTCGCGGTGCAGATACAGCGCCTGAGCGCACGGGATGCCGGTGCTGCCATTGTGCTGGAGGGGAAGGCGTGAATCGATGGTGATGATTGTACGTTGCGGGCGTGCCTGCGATCATGAGATTTTGCGGAGCGGATTACGACTAATCGGGTTGGCGTCTTGGCGCGTTCCCAGACCCGCAAAAAAGTTAGAGAACTTCGAGGCCTTCAGACATCACCGCCACAACACCATCTCCCGGGCATACTGAAGCGTCGAAACTATGGGAAGGCGCCCCGAAGTCCTATCACAGATCCATCCTCGCAGAAATGGAAGGAATCAATACTCGCAAGTCCGGTAAAATGGTCGACATCAACACGCTTGCCGCGGAAGCCTTGAAGCCCGAATCCACAGACGACATTCTTGTTCAGCATGACAGACTTCTCACAGAGCTATGCGCGCGGTGGATACAGTCTGGCTCAAAGACCGATGCGAAAGTAGCGGCCTTTGGGCGATTACTACCACTCGCGCCTCACCTCGCGGAGCACGTGGAACGATTTCTGGCCCATGCCTCTGATTCTCCAATAATTGGATCGAGATCATCGATCGAAGTCATGAGCGCTACCAGTGATTTAGATCTTGTCGAAGTTCTTCTTGGAACATTCCGACTCGTCAGTTACGACTGCAAGAACTTCACTAACTATGTACGACCGCTTGCTTTGGAGCGCTTGTCTCAGCACACGAGTCGCGTTGTACGGTACCTGGCCATACGGACGCTTTGTATATACGCACATACGGCGGATTTTACGACCCAAGAAATGATCAAGCGATCCGTTGGAGAGGAGGAGATCGAAGGGCCATGGGAAGGACAGCAAATCGACTACCGCTTTTTGTCGCTTTGGGAAGAGAAGAGGTGGAAAGATCTACAGGACAAGATCGGCCAGGAGATTCCCAGGATAGACACGTATGCCACTGCCGTATATCAGGACCTATCGCCGTATACAGTCAACGTCAATGGCGTTTTACTGCCTCGATTGGATGGAACCCCATCCCAAGAGAGGCCTGCCCAGCTCGTTTCGACAGCCACCACAGAGGAAAACCTGAAGAAGATCGCTCATGGACTTCTTGGGTCCAGCCCTATCCTACTCACGGGACTCGCGGGTTCAGGCAAGACTCTTCTTACGCGTCATTTCGCATGGCAGCTCAACAAGCTCGATGGAATGGTCACCCTTCATTTGAACGAACAAAGTGACGCAAAGCTACTGATTGGAATGTACACTACCGGAGCGAAGCCGGGAACCTTCAGCTGGCGCGCAGGAGTACTCACTACGGCTGTTCGGGAAGGCCGGTGGATTTTCATCGAGGATCTCGATCGGGCGCCAAACGAAGTCATCAGCACGCTGCTACCCCTCATAGAACGCGGTGAACTACTCATACCCAGCAGAGGAGAGACCATACGAGCAGCGCGTGGGTTCCGCATTATCGCCACTATGCGAAGCACCCTCAACCCAAGAGGCCAGGAGATCATACCTCGTCAGAACATGATTGGCCATCGATTCTGGAAATCTATCACAGTGCAGATGCCTCAGCTAGAGGAGTTCCGCCAGGTGATACACGCCAAGTACCCTGCATTGCAGAAGCATCTTCCCAGCATCATGGGAGTCTATGCACGGCTGTTGGAACTGTACTCAGATCCCAAATTCTCATCCGAAAATGGTACATCACTTCGAGCCATGACACCGCGAGACTTACTTAAGTGGTGCGACCGGATCGCGGTACTTCTTGGACAGGCTGCATCATTCAGCAACGCGCAAAAGGACGACATATTCATGGAAGCATTCGACTGCTTTGCGGGAAGTCTGCGTACCGAAAGCGCGCGCTTGAAGGTTATGGCTCATGTGGCCGAAGAGTTACACGTCGACCCTCAGCGCAGAGACCACTTGCTGAGAAACCGCGAAGTCAAGCTTCAGGTGCCTTCCAAGACTACAGCATTCGGCACTATTCAGATTGGACGAGCGCGATTGTCAAAGCACAAGTCTTCTAAGAAACGGGGTTCAGCACGGCCATTCTCAACCAATGACTACACCCTACGCCTGCTTGAGAAGGTGGCCGTAGCAGTTGATCGCCAAGAGCCGCTTCTTTTAGTGGGTGAGACGGGTACCGGAAAGACAACCTGCATCCAGTATCTGGCTGAGCAGCTTGGTCGCAAGCTCGTAGCCTTCAACTTGTCACAGCAAAGCGAGAGCGGTGATCTGCTGGGTGGCTTCAAGCCTGTCAATGTGCGCAGCCTTGTTATTCCACTCAAGGACGAATTTGATGAAATCTTCGATACCACCTTCTCACGAAAGAAGAACTTGCGATTCATCGAAATGCTCGGAAAACGTGTTGCGAAGGGCGATTGGAAGCGCGTTTGTTCACTGTGGCGCGAGGCTCTAAAGATGGTCGATGCAGCCAGGAAATTACACGAATCGCAAACGTCATCTCCGGATCCTGATGGTGGTCAGCCCAAAAAGAAGCGGAAGATGGACTCGCTACCTGCCAACTTCCCAACAGCAAGATGGGAGAAGTTTGCGGTTGATCTGCACGACTTAGAGGCGCAGCTTGCTAGTGGCTCGGAAGCATTTGCCTTTTCTTTCCTGGAAGGCAATATCGTCAAGGCAGTCAGGAATGGCGATTGGGTGTTGCTTGATGAGATCAACTTGGCGTCTTCGGACACACTAGAGGCGCTTACTGATCTTTTGGGTGGCGGCCCAGACGGAAACCCATCGATACTCTTGACCGAGACTGGCAATGTCGAACGTGTGGTCGCACATCCCAATTTCAGAGTGTTCGCTGCGATGAACCCGGCCACCGATGTAGGCAAGAAAGACCTTCCACCGGGCATCCGATCACGATTTACTGAGCTATACGTCGAGAGTCCAGACGGTGACGAAAAGAGCTTGCGCAACATCGTAGAGAAATATCTCGGCGGAGACGGAACAGATCCAGCAATTGTGCGCGTAGCACGCGATGTCACTACTCTGTACCTCGAGATTCAAAAGCTTGCCAAAGCGAACATGCTCGTCGACGGCGCAGATCAAAAAGCCCACTTCAGCCTGCGAACTTTGACACGAACGTTGTCATACGCCAGGGACATTGCGCCGCTCTGTACTCTCCGTCGGGCTCTGTATGAAGGATTTCACATGAGTTTCTTAACTTTCCTAGGCAAGGCTTCAGAAGACTTGATTGCTCCACTTATTACCAAGCATCTCTTCCCGCAAAAGGCTTCCGTGAAGGCTGAGCTGGGAAAGCCACTTCAACAACCATCAGATGGTCGAGGCTACGTCAGACAGGGCCATTACTGGCTCCGACAGGGTGTGCACGATGTGGAGGAGCAATCGCACTACATCATCACCCCCTTTGTTCAGCGCAACATGAACAACCTCATCCGAGCTGCTTCCACACGAAAGTACCCAGTGTTGATCCAAGGCCCTACCTCATCTGGTAAGACAAGTATGATTGAGTACCTAGCCAAGCGATCAGGGAACAAGTTCGTTCGTATCAACAACCATGAGCACACCGACTTGCAAGAGTACCTAGGGTCGTACATCTCCGGTGCTGATGGGAAGCTTACATTCCAAGAGGGTATATTAGTACGAGCCCTACGTGAGGGCCACTGGATCGTTTTGGATGAGCTCAATCTTGCGCCTACAGATGTTCTCGAAGCTCTGAATCGTCTGCTCGATGACAACCGAGAGCTACTCATACCAGAAACACAAGAGGTCGTCCGGCCACACGACGACTTCATGCTCTTTGCCACACAGAACCCGGCTGGTCTCTATGGAGGACGTAAGGTGCTTTCAAGAGCTTTCCGTAATCGTTTTTTGGAACTACACTTCGACGATATACCGGTAGAAGAGTTGACGGAGATTCTACACCGCCGCACCATGATTCCGGAAACATGGTGCAAGCGGATTGTCAAGGTATATCGGGAGCTTTCCACACTTCGACAGGAGAACCGTATCTTTGAGCAGAAGAGTTTCGCGACACTACGAGACCTGTTCAGATGGGCTCAGCGCAAAGCAGACACAATACAAGACCTAGCAAATAACGGTTACATGCTTCTCGCTGAACGTGTGCGCAAAGAGGATGAGCGAGTCGCCGTCAAGAAGATCCTAGAGACCGTGATGAGCGAAAAGGGCCCGAGAGTGACGATAGACGAAGAGCGACTGTTCAGACCTGACAGCCTTTCGAACATTGAAGGGCTTGGCAGTAGTATGGCTATGGTCACCACTGATATTGTTTGGACCCGCGCCATGCGTCGCTTATCTGTTCTTGTTGCACATGCCATCCGAAACAATGAACCCGTTCTACTCATCGGAGAGACTGGTTGCGGAAAAACGACTGTCTGCCAATTGCTCGCCGAGCGATTTAACAACCGACTCCACATCGTCAATGCTCACCAGAACACTGAAACTGGAGACTTGATTGGTGCGCAACGACCGATCAGAAACCGAGCCGCCATTGAGGAATCAGTAAGAGAGCAGGTGCTCGAAGCACTCGCTGGGACTCTGGGCGAACGCCTACAGGGTGACCCTGCCTCGCTGGGCTTCGAAGAGCTTATGACGCTTTACGACAAGATCGTTAATGACTCACCCACTGCAATCACTGATGAGCTTCGCCAATCTATACATTTCAGTCGAGCTAAGGCTAGTGCCTTGTTTGAATGGGCGGATGGTAGCTTGGTGTACGCAATGAAGCAAGGCCACTATTTTCTTCTGGACGAAATCTCGCTAGCTGATGACTCAGTGCTTGAACGCCTGAACAGCGTTCTCGAGCCTTCGCGTTCCCTTCTGCTGGCAGAGAAAGGTCCGGTGGACTCCATGGTTACAGCTAGCGATGGGTTCCAGTTTCTTGCTACTATGAACCCAGGTGGAGACTACGGTAAGAAAGAGCTCTCGCCAGCTCTTCGGAACCGCTTCACAGAGATCTGGGTTCCAGCAATGTCCGACCTCGACGACATCCTCGAAATTGTGCGATCGAAGTTGACACCAAACTTGACTCAGTATGCTGGAGCTATTGTGTCGTTCTCACAATGGTTCAATGACAAGTACAACACCTCTGTTGCTTCTTCAATATCTATTCGT